GAAGAAGGACCCCCGCAGGGTCTGAAACTGGTCGGTGCCGTCACCGGAAAAACAAAAGCATACGTGAGTAAGCCGTAAATAATTAATTATCGAATAATCAAAGTAGAGTTTCACGACTTTGTCTTAATAAACATTTATACAAGCACAGATAATACAAGAAGGTACAGTCGATAACGACATGCATAATGCAAATATATTTATATTTTATGGTGATTCCATTAAAAAAAAAAACAAAAAAACACTACAGTTAATTACAGAAAACTCGTATAGTCATTCAAGTTTATTGTTAGATTATAAAAAATCTTTACACATATAGAGAGCGATGAATTTCAGTTCATAGTTTATGTTTATCGGTCAATAAACTTTAACCGAAGAGGTCCATTTGGCGTGTACATAGGATGTATATGGTAGTCCAGTGGCTCGTGATGATACTCCATCTTGAACGCTTGCACGATCTATAAAGAATTTAAAAAGATATATTTAAACACAACAACTAGAAGATAAAACACGTTATCTAAAGACATGCCCATCCAGGCAGAGGTCATTGTCTTGTCTATAAAACATTCTTTAAGAATAATCTTATTTAGAGCTGACGCACATTATTGACTAAACCATCGAATCGATTGTCGATTGTTTCGCAGTCAATTGAACTGTTTAGTTGCACAACTATAAATCAAGTAGTGTGCGTACTGGCATATTAGCTCATAGGAATCGAAGCGAGACTAAACAGATGTGCGATAGTTTAGTTTCAAATGTGCGCACGCTTTTCAGGTAAATATATATTTATATTAAACTAGCTTTTGCTCGCGACGTCATAATAAAATATAGCCTATGTTACTCACTGATAACGTAGCTTTTTAATGGTAAAAGAATTTTTAAAGTCGGCCCAATAGTTTTTGAGTTATTTCAATACATATAAAAAACCAAAAAAACATTCATCTTTATAATATTAGTATAGATAAGGTATACGGTACCAGGAGAACATAAATTAATTGGTAGTTTCTATTCACCTTGCATAGCGCTATGTGCATTTCAAGTTCAGCAAACCGTCGACCGAGACACATCCTCTTGCCGAAGCCGAAGGGTAAAGACGCGAAAGCGTGGTGCTTATACGTCGACCGCTGGATCCAACGCTCTGGCCGGAACTCCGCAGCGTCAGAAAAATATTCCTCGGAGTTGCCCATCACGTAGTGTTGGAAGATGACTTGAGTCTAAAAATATAATGACATATTTACAAGGATTGGTTAATTGTGTCAATCACATCCGAACGCAGAAAAAAATTGTAACGTATCTTATACTAACATTTTAGCAATCCCTGTATTTAACTAAACAAGTAGTGCAAACTAAATAAAACAAATAAATTAAACCGCATATATAACTTCAGGTGTGAAATATCCTGGAAAATTATAAGTAGTTTGTGATTTTGACATCCATCTGTATGGATAGGCTTGGAAAAGGTAGTTTCTGTTAGTAACGACTTAAATATGATTGTTATTATATCTTTATTATAAAAACCACATCTTCACCTTGGTCTCGGGATAATGGTCAAGCGCTGGTTTTCCAATTAAAAAAAAAACATCTAAGAACAACATAGATAATACATACCCCTTTTGGTATATTGTAGCCACATATAACGGTATCTTTCGTCAATTGTCTACCGTTTCCGATTACAACGGGAAACAGTCTGAAAATCGAAATAAAACACATAAATACATGATTAATCTAAAGAAAAGAACTGATTAACTAAAAATTTATACAGACGAATTGAGTACCTCCTTTTGAGAATATTCTTATAAATTGCTAGAATATTCTTATTAAGAACACGGATCAAATAATCTCAATAGACTAATAATAAGGAACGTTCTAGAAGGAGAACATAGATAGAAATATATTTGTCTTAAATGTACCTCAAAACTTCTTTAACGCATGCTTTTAAATACGGCATTTGGTTAATGTCGCCTGGAGCTAGCGGTCTTCCTTGTAAGACCTTTGTGATCTCTTGGTGCAGTGTCTCCTGGATTTGAGGTCTAGATGCTAGCTGATATAACGTCGAAGCAACCGCATTCGATGTCTGAAATTCAACACAATGCTTTAAGTTTTATTTATCATTAAATTTAGTTACTTCTTTTAAATAATTAACAAAATAAATTAGTCATCAGGTAGAGTCAGTATTTTAACTACATTTATTACCGAAATAATAAATTGCAAAGTTATAAAACTAGTGTACAGTGCTTACGTTTTTTGTAACCCAAAATATAAAAGGAGATATTAACTGTGACAAGGAAAGTATTGCCAATGATTTACCGACTTTATATGTGGGCTACCAAAAAGGAATACTTGTTCTGCTGACTTATAAATAAAATGGAGTAACCTCTCACCGTATCGATTCCCACCAGGAAGAGGTCCAAAGCAGCCACCGCGGCGACCCTAGGCCCTGCTGCTGTCACCAGATCTTGTAACAATGATTTACTGCCGCCGTTCGCCTCGCACTCCTTCAGAGCGCGCTCCACGTGGTTTAAAGTTACACTGAAATTAGATTTAGGTATTTCATTACTATGAAACAACTGTCGTTATTTTAAAAATCAATAATACTGACGTAGATAACTGCGAATTAAAATGTTTTTTAATGTCTAAAAAAAATTATTTTCATTCACTACAGTCTAACGAACATTATCTTAACAGATATCTGTTGTTTTTAATTTTAAAAATATCTCTGAATAAACTATATCCCGACTATTTAGTCGCGCTTTGATTCCTACGATCTTATATGGAGGTGCGCACACTACTCGATTTCTAGTTGTGAACAGTTCAATTTGACAGAAACAATCGAGAATCGCACAACAGTTGTGCGAGAGTTTAGTCAATGGTGTGCGGTTTAAAAGTCACTATACACT